TTTTTCATATTTTTTCGCAGAATTTGAATCAAGTTGCAAGTGTGGTCAAGTGTGGTTCAGTCGGCGGACTCAGCAATCAATTTTTTTAGTAGCAAGGTTCAACTCCTCGAAAAATCTTTTCGCAGTCCGCGCAGTTTGGTTGTTTCGAAGCTTGCTCCAGCCCCCTCCCTTCTCCGTTTTACTGCATTGAAGAACAAATTTTTGATGGTTGCAGCAATAAAAAATTTTTTAACCTGCCGTGTACTCGATAATTGATGATTGCAAAAACTTTGTTTATAACAAATTTTTGGAATGAACACCGACAGAAACTCAGTAACGTAAAATTATTTGTAGATTCCGATAATGCTCTATCAACAATTCATTTTTCTCAAGCAATACAAGATTTCGGTTGTGTTAGATTAGTTTACCATGACGATTTCTCAAAATAATTGAGAATATTAGTAAAATTTTGCTGAATTCTTTTGTTGCAAACGCTTTTAAATTCTTGAAGCATCCTCTGTCATAATACAAATGCAAAAAATATGCCGCCATCAAATTAAATTTATCACAGTTTAAAAAATAAAAAATAAATCACGACGCTTTTTCTGCCCACTCAACTGTCATAATCGTCAGGTAAGTTCTTTTCATGGATTATTTAAGCCCATGATATCTTAATTCTATGTAACCGTTCATGAAACTCAGTGATATGGCGCATGTGATTGTCCAAATTTTTCACCTCAAAAAATTATTTTCAATCATTTATCTTTATTGAACATCAAACGATTCCACCATCAACTCAAACAGTTTGACATGCGGATTGTGAGGAACAGACACAGTGTTTTTGACAAAAGGAACGACAACGGCAGGACTTGAACCTGCGCTCCCAGAGGGAATTGCATTTCGAGTGCAACGCCTTAACCACTCGGCCACGTTGTCATTTTCAAATCTTAAATACAATAATATTATTATATTATTGTTTGGCAGTCTTTTCTTCAAAAATTTGATTGCCTTGATCTGGAGAGAAAATAAATTTGATTTGTTGAAATCGAGTTGTCAGGGCGCAGCATGGATTTCGAGCAGTGAAATATCATTTTTTGTCTGTCAAGTGGTGTTGACACTTTGCTGACCAGATTGAAAAAAATTTCGACGAATTTTTTTGGAAGTTCACATGGACACTACTGCATAAATATGCTTATGAAAGGAAAGTAAAAACAAAGAAGAAAACTAAGATAACTGAATTACAAGAGGAAAAAAGAAGAGAGAAAAAAACTTGAGGAAAATAAACGAAAAAGAAAATTTATTTGACTACTCCACAGTAAGTATGATAGAGACTTATCATTGTTTATAAACTCAGTAATGAATCACTCTAGAAACTCAAACATAAGTCACAGTCAGTTGAGAAGAGCTTGTGATCGATGCATCAGTCAAAACTTTACTGCTCTGCTCGATGTCGATAATTTGGGCACCAGTAATGCCAACTGTAGAGCCAGACTGGGTAGCAGAAGCACTAGTGAAGACAACGGAGCCAAAGTCAGCAAATGAAACCAGCGAGCTGCCTTCCTCGAAATCTTCAACAATCCATTCGGCGTTGTACTCACAGAGACTGCCTTCGCTGGCCTCGTTGGAGAAGGAGTGAGTGACTGTTTTGCCGGTGGTGTTGTTCTTGATTTTTGCCTTGCCGGCGGTTTTGCTCGAGGCGGTGACGGTAACGGTGACACTGTCGCCCTCGGAGATGGTAAGGGTGGAGAAGTCGTAAGCGTAGTTGGGATACCATTCGTACCAGGCGTCGTACGTGATGGATGAGCCGGACTTGGTCCAGTCGATGCCGGTCTGGAGGATTGCCGTTCCGCAAGTGTCGCCGTCAATGCCGACCCACGCAGACCCTTTTGAAATAAGCCAGAACAGTTTTAGTAACAAGCAAGCTCAATATAAAAGAATCACGGATTAAGGAGTATACCAGATCCTGCACTCTTGGGTGTTGGCACGGTGAATGTTGCTGTTACGCTGGTGTATCCAGTGCCGACAAGAACGGCACCAGCCCAGTTGGAACTGTACGACACTTCGGTAGTGTTTGTTGGGCCTTGCACGTGGTTGATCAACTTGTGGCCAGATTCGGCGCGTCTGCGACGAAACTCGGTTCCAGGTGCAGCATTGGCGAGACCAGCGAGTAAGGTGACGAGAAAGGCTCCTTCGAATTTCATTGTGTTCGTTTTTCTGTCGATGTTTTTTTTTCTTCCAAACCTCAAACCGGTGCCATATTTATAGTTTTTTTTGTTGGTTCTTTTGAAATTTATAACAGTGGCGAAATTTTTGCCACAATGTCGCAATCATTGATTAACACACAAAGAAATACAAGATGGCATGCAGGTTAACGCAGAAACAAGCCAAAAATAGTTTATACATCCTGGAAAAATGTATATGTTCAATTCTCCTCTGTTCTAGATCAGTTGAAAACTCGACCGATCATTGTGGAGAAAATTAACGGTTAGTAAAAGAGATTAACTCATGTGACAACCACATGCTCCTAAGATATCAGGGATGTTAAAAGTTTAGAAAAGTTATTTTTTGTGGTTACTGAACCGTTGAAAAGGAAAAAATTTCAATAGAAGAAACGATGTCAAAATAAGAAACCAAGTCGAAAGCAAAGTAACATTAATTTTTGTCAATGAAAATTTTCGCTCTGCATATTGTTGACCTCGAACTAACGCCACTCTGTTAGTGATCAATTATAATATTTCTAGCTGCCTACGACATCCTGTACTTTCCTCTTGTTTTTTTTTTTCTGGTATTACTTATCAAAGTGATTAATATTTTGTCTAGCTTATGATTAATATTTTTGTCTAAACACCTGCATGTCATCTGATCAAAAAAAAAAAAAAAATGTGAACGAAAATTTACCTTGGCTGCATGTTTGTCTTATTTTTTGTCTGGCCATGTGCCAGTCTTGTGAATGTGAAGATCCAGGCCAATGAAACGTAAGGATATCACATTTTTGGACAATTTTGTCAGGATCACAATGTGGCCAAGTGGTCAAAGTGTTGTATTCGAAATGGAATTCCCCCTGAGAGCGCAGGTTGAAGTCCTGCGTTTGTTATTCTGCACCTGTATGAGACTGATCTTTGTATTTGTCGGTTACCCTGATCATTTTGCCTTTCACTTTTATCCCCAGCAATAGCAAACCAGTAGGTGCTGGATTCTAGACAGTACCGAATTCTATTACCCCATTTTTCCAGACGTAATCATCACGCACCAATCCCTTTGGAAATGCAGTGATATGCCAATGTAATTTCATCACTGAAACAATCTTCACGTGAGAAATGGCACAGCCAATGGCAACGCGGGCGTCGGGGCCGAGTGCACAATTTGCGTGGGCGGCGCCGGGCTTCGGCGGGGGCGCAGTCGGGGCAGCCGGCGGGGCATTCGGGGCCGGGCGGCGTGCGGACAAAGGCTGGGATGGCCGGCCAGACACGCGCACGTTGCAGCTGCGCGAAAGCCAGAGGCGCCACCGCCAGCGCAAACTCAACTACGTCAAGTCGCTCGAGGACCGCGCAAAGTCGGCCGACGAAGCGTGGCGCCGCGTGTCCGAACTCGAAGCAATGTGTGTCGCACTACAACACGAACTCGACAAGTATCGCAATCCTTCGTTAATTCACAGTGACAATATTCGGAATTCCAAAAATAATATCAATGTTTCGCATGCCCTTGATATTGACGAAGCCAGCTCCATGCTCTCCAGAATCGCTGCCATCGCCAATTCTCCCTTGATTCATCAATTTTTCAGTCTAGTCCAAGCCCAAGTCGATTGTAATGACGTTAAACAGCGAAGATTATTTATTCTCCGCACCCTCAAAGTCTCTAGTGATATTTTAGATCTGTGTGGTGTTGTCGATCGCCAAAAAATTTACGACATCATGATGGACTTTAAAACAAGGAACAGCTCGCACGAGGTTAAGATTTATTTTAATATCAAGTGCAGTAATGGCATGATGAGCGTATACATATATATATATTTGACATTCCCAAAACTCTTTTTTCTTCTGCCTGTGTTGACTCTAACCTTCCAATAACAGATTTACGTCAACCAAATGACTACGAACTTCAAATTTCATTCCGAAGGCAGCGCAACAATGAGCACATTATCGGCGACATCATCAACTTCTTCAGATTTAATAATACCAGAAGCAAGAGTCGATCCTGCAATCGTGAATAGTATAGAGTCTCTATTTCGTTCATCACTCAAAGCAATTAAACCACTGCAAGGCGCTTCTCAGTTAATTGACGATTTGTGTGCTGTTGGTCGAGTAAGTAATACAAGCAAAAAATAATTAACAAAACACCCGCCATACTAAGAATGAGTGTAGCTAGGGTCTTGAAATAATGCCGTTCGTTCAGATTGGCGAGTGAAACAGTAGCCAGCGAAGCGAAAAACGACAGTTGAAACAAGATTGAAAGAAAACAAGAGGAAAAAATATGATCTTTCCTTATTATTCACTTCATATATATATTTTTTTTTATTTTTAATTTTTAATTTTTAATTTTTAATTTTTTTGACAGTCCATGGCGATTCACGGCGCAAACATGGAAGAGCGATTTTTTAAAGTTCTTGAACTAACGGATACACTCAAACAAATGTGTGAAACTGAAGAAGATCAAAGAAAAGTGAGTTTGGTTTATTTTGTTAGCCATAAATAGTTGCCAAATAGGCAGAAAATAAAAAACATACCAAAAAAAACAAAAAAAAAACAGTTTATGATAACCACCGAAATCGCACGATACCGTTGTCGAGAGAGAGTCAATTTATTTTTCAGGCAACTAGGAGTTTTCTAAATTGTAAAATTTAATCAACTTCATATCAACTCCTTAGTCCAACCACTCATGTAGGAATTGAAAAAACACAACGAAATAAAATGAAAGTAATAAAAAAAAAAGAGAGAAAAAAAC